AAAAAGTGTGCAAAACACTTTACACTACGTGTCCGGTCTATGTGTTCTCTGGTTAATGCTATAAGGTTTTCATTCTTTTCCCCAGATTTTGATTGTAAAATATGCTAAATCTAGCTTAAAATAAGCTAAAATGGCAACACTGGTCTCTCATTGTGAGAACTATCGATTGTGAAAACAGTATATACTATCGCTAGTACTATCGAAAATTTATGATACTCCATTTTTAGTAGATATACCAAATTGAGTTCTCTAAGATCAATAGTGTCCAAAATATAGAAGAATTTGAAAAACCACTATATCATCAGGTCTGATTTGATTATTAACCCAGCTTTACTAAATGTTCTCTTCGACTCGGTGAAGCTTACCGGAACGCAAAGGTTCTTGCGAGCGTACTGTGCGATGTGCTCAAGATATGGCGCATTTATCTGCAATGCTTTAAATGGCGTTTGCAGAGTTAACGTTCACTTTTTTAATGTTAGACTATCGATAATCGCAAAATTCTATCGAGGTATCACCGTTTTAGAAAACCATCGATAGTACCAATAGCGAGCGAACCGCCAGGTTCACAGATCCAGAAATTTGTTGGTACGAATCCACAGTCAGCTGAAACTAGCCCAGCTTAGACTCGTGGGGCCCTGCTATAAGAGTTTAGCTAGCATTGCTTGGGTATTTAACTTGAAGAAGGAGGAGTGCTGCGTTATGGTGGCGAGTTCGGAGTGAGTTTGTAGTAGTAGATGACTTGGAGACAGAGCTTTCGCATTTGGTACGGCTTTGTGGCACGAGCGCAGCAGCGCGACTGCAAGACACGCGACGGGGTGAGATGAGAGCCATATCCACCCCGCAACCTGAAATACGGCCACGAGGACTTGGCAGCACAGCCCAAGACTACCCAAACAAGTGCGAAAGTGGACCTTTCGCTTGGATGGCACTACAAGCCTTTGGAGTCTTTGGAGCAGAGGGAGTGGTCAACTGACACATATGGCCTTGATCTAGAAATGATACAGACAATGATGTCAGAGCTGCTGAAATGCATGGCCTTGAAGTGGTACGTGGCCAACAAATGACACTGGACGGCGTGGGCGACGTTTGTGCGCAGCTTCCAGCAGTTTTTCTTGCCCAGAGGCTATCTGAAGACACTGGAGGACGACGTCAAAAGCCGGAGGCAAATTGTAAATGAGAGCTTCAATGTCTACATGGTTGAGATGCAGACTCTCATGCGGCCGCTGCGCTATGGAGCAGACCATGAGATGAAGCAGTCTGCCTGAACTGCGTGCCTACGGCCGCCCATATCAATTCCATAATCTGGTGGAATTGATGCACCTGGCAGATGAGTTCGAGGAGCAAGAGACTATGAATCGAAGCTTCTGCTCTCGTCCTTCCAAAAGGCAATTTATTAAGAAATCTGTTAAATTATTATGTGTTTATACCCTCAAAATTAATAAATATTTAAAATGATTTAATCATTTAGAATGAATATTTTATTTATAGATGTTTCCATAGGAACCTCATCACCTTGAAATAATGCTGTCTGAATATCGTTAATCTATGAATTCCAACAACAGAATTTGAAAGGGGAGAGAGAAATTGGAAGGTTCGTTTATATATTTATATTAAAACTTTAAATTATATTTGGGGATCCAGTTTAAGCCCGCGACAGTTGATGTTTTTGGTTTGTATTCACAACCAATCCAATCATCATATCCAAAGAGCCGTATTGTTTTAAAAATATAGTCATAATCTAGCTCACCAGATGAGCCTGGTTCATCTCGATTGGGTACCTGGGCAATTTGAAAATGACCAATTACATCCCTATATTCTTCTAGGGTCTTAGTAAAGTTTCCACATATATGCTGCAGATGGTAGAGATCTATCATAAGCTTTATATTATTATATTTGAGTTCTTTCAAAACGGTTGAAGCTGCAAATAAAAATGTAATAATACACAAAAAATAAATAAAAAATTTTTAGTCAAGTTACCCGACAAGATCCCTGAGCCCCGGAATGGGTTTTAATAAATAAACTCATAAATAAACTCAGACTCTAGTCGAGACTGCTCGGCTAGGAGATACCCTGAACCCTCCATTTGATATTCTAATCACTCTGCGCAGCTTTTAGGCACACACAAATAAACACGCACGTATTAGAACGCGCTCTGCTAATTGCACAGTAAAAAGAGATGCGCTTCGGCTGCGCTGCAGTGCGGGCAATATTATATATATATATATACAAAACTACTTGTTGAATAATGTAATTTCTTCACATACGATCTTAATGAAACTTTCAGAACTTAATCATAATGTTCAAATTTATGCACATTCTAAAGCACAGGTCTCTAATACTTAAAATACGCCTTTTACAAAGGTGAGGGTTAGGGGGTGAATATAGGGGTGGGGGGTAAATTACAACCAAAACCGAAATTATATAAAATACACATAAGTCTACATTTGAAATTTGTAAGCTCTAGCTCTAAAGGTACAATTAAATAACGAGCAGTCGATACGGCTTTTTGTCATAAACTCTGAGATCGACGCGTTCATACATACGGACGGACGGATGGATAGACAGACAGACAGGGTCAAATCGACTCAACTTGACGTCTTCATCAAGAATATATATACTTTGAGGGGTCACCCTCACCACCTTCTGCCTGTTACATATTTTTAACAAATTGATTGACTGATTTCCCATTTCCAACGGGCTCAGGATATAATAAATAAGCGCAGTACCCTTGACGAAAGAGTCCAGATAATACGCTGGAATGGCATATTTGCTTATCGGTTCAATTACACCAATCATATTATTGACCATTAATATATAGGCGGCTTCTTTTAAATTAGACACATAGGTCGCATAATGTTCGCATTCCAATTTTTTATTTATCACTCCTGCCATCAAATGAATTCTGAAAAAATAAAATAAAATAAAATAAATAAAACAAGTAAAAAGACTCTAGTCGAGACTGCTCGACCCTGAATCTCCTAAATACGCCTTTTACAAAGGTGATGCTGAAGGGGTTGATTAAGGGGATGGGGGGTAAATTACAACAAAAACCGAAATTATATAAAATACACATAAGTCTACA